GAAAGAGAGAGAGAGAGAGAGATGGGGGTGGGGTGGGAGGGAGGGGTATTGAGGCACAAAAGAAGAACTAGAAGAGGAAGTGAGGAGGGGAAAAATTAAACGGCCCTCGAAGAGGCGCACAAGAACACGCCAGTGTTCCTTTTTTTATCCGTTCCTCAAGGTTGAGACATCAAAATACTGTTAATTCACTCTATATTTATATCTAAGTCATTGCAGTTGCAACAACAGATAAATACTCAGGCCTAAAATACCCCAACTTATCTTTCAGGCCTGTAGCCTATTATCTACCTATGTCAAAGGCCAAAACAACAGCAAATCCCAGAATAACAATTTTGACGTAAAGACATGGCGAAATCTGGAAACCCCTGGACAAGCACGAGAAATCTTTGCGAGAAATGCTGTTTGATCGATTCCAAATTAAAAAAGAATCGAAGTACACAATCATTTTGGTGGTCGATATGGCGTTCGATACCCAAAACGTTGTTGTTTAGCAAATTTGTGCCGAATGTGAACTGTGAACATTTTCTTTTCTTTACTAGTTATTCAGTTGTTATAGCACCCCACAAGTGCTCTTGTTTCTGCAAATTGTCTCGAAATAAGTGAATGAAGAAAACAACGTTTTATTTTACAAATATCGATATCTAAAAGAAGTACTCAGAATCGTTTCGTCTTCTGTACTCTGTCCGCGCCCTGACCCTGCTGCTCCACGAGGGACAGATCTATTTTTTTTTAGATTGCTGAAGACTGGAAAATTGAGCGGCCGGCGTGCGAAGGTGCATCGTGTGGGCGCTCACTCCACTACTCCAAAGCAGACTACAAAAACTGTCCTGATTCTGATTTATATCCATTTCAGAAGAGCTTACAGCTGCGTGAATCGCTTCTCCAGTATTCTAAAATGTCTGCAGGTAAGGAATCTCAGTGGAAAATTCCTGACCAGATTCCAGTTCCAGTCTAGAATGGCTACCATTATTTTGTTATCGCTGTCCGTTTTGTTATATTCCCACTGTTCCCACCCCGGGTGGGAATAAGAAGCCGAATAAGATTTTCTCTTAGGGTGGGTTGGAGTTGGGGCAACTAGACGTCCCTCAGGCCAAATTCGACAGAACACTCTACTCGCCTTCTTTGTTAACTGGTTATTCGTTGGCGTTTTCGGTAGATCTAGAATCTAGTTCCCACCCCGCATTTGTTATTCGCAGGGTTGGTGATTTTTTTTATTTAAATCATGATTTTTTTTATTTAAATCATATTTTTTTATTTTTTTTATTTTTTTAAAAATGTCGACACAG